ACCTTTGCACCAGTCCAACATCCTGGCCATATGTACCGCCCTATGGTATTTAAGATGGATGAAATGGTCCTTGAAGACGGAGCCCAGACTCAACATGAATTCACAGCTCCATACCTTGGCCATGCCCCCATAAAATTATTTATTAAGGGATAATATAAACTGTAAGGAATTAATTGCAATCTGTTCCTCAAAGAATGTGATCATTGCTCATATCAATCAACTAACCCATTCCTATTTATTTGTAAAATCATAGGCACAAATTCACAGAGGTGAACAGTTTATCGGTGTACCATAGCTTTCATCCAATACATCTAAAATAAAACATCCTGGTGTGCCAATTTCTTAGAAAATGTTCAGAAAAAAAATCCAGATATTCACATGCTTTAGCAATTAATTAGAAGAAACGGATTACCCCAAAAACATATAGTAGTGTATTCTTAAAAGTAAAAAATACCCAGCAACACACATTTCTACATACTAACAAAAAGACTACAATCACCCCTGGGGTCCCCCTGTTTATTTGATAAGCTGTTCCTTAAAGAGTTTTTCAAAGTCTTGAGGATGGTTATGTGAAGCAGTGTGGCCTTTTTCTCTTCAGTCTTCTCCGGGCGGTGGGCGGTCCTTGGGATGCAGAAAGCTGCGCTGATGAGATGAAATTTTCTGCATTAATATACTGTGAATATAGGGTTCTGTAGTGGTACTCCCTCAGGCAGTGGGACCATGATGCCCTGCATTCAGAGTATTGTTCTCAGTCATCTGGGTTGAGTGATGATGGACGTCATTAAAACCCAGAAGATGGAGGATATGTTGTGCCAAAAAATAATGAATGAAGGATCAGATGTTTTATAGTGAATGTGTGCTTTGTGCATACAGGTGTACTTTACTGGTGCCCCTCACAGCTGCTTTTACTTAGCTATCACTGTGTTTCTGTGTGTTGTGGTCATCTTGGAAGAGGAATAGGGCTTGCTTTCTCTTGTCAGGGCTGTCCCCCTGTTGACTGGTGATCTAATAACTGATGGGGAAATAATAAAGAAGTGTCATGAGAGGATCACAAAGTACAGACCCACAGAATAAATGCACCAGAAGCAGTAACATGCATTCAGTGCAGATTCCTCTCCAGCAAGCAACAAAGAAATGACATCACCAAACCTCTTATTAGACTGGACTATTAGTCACATGAAGAAGTACCTCTAACAGTGAAAGCTGTGTGCCTAGGTACCTTCATGTACCAAAAAGTGCAGTGCTTTCTTAGGAGGAATTTAGTACAAAAGATAGATATTTCAGTGAAAAGCTTATGCACAATTAAAATTTTTCGATGTTCCCTATAATATATCAAGTCTTTAGTTTCTGAGTTTAAGTCCTCTCTAGTAAACCTGCTGATTTACCCTGCAAGGTTCACTTTAATAATATAATGTTAAAACTTGTATATGCCCCATTTGTTTTCTCCAGTCCATTATACTGCCAATACAGGAAGGTTAACATTGTCTATTGGTTAAAAATGGCTGAATACACATTATTGTGCTGCATTAACGCACACGTTACATAGTATTTGAAGTTGAATGAAGACACAGGTACATCGAGTTCAACCTTTGTGTGTACTGTATGTTATGGTCTCTGAGGAAGGTATCTAAATACTTTTGAATGATTCAATACTCTCAGCTGATACCACTGCTTGTGGCAACGAGTTCCAAAATGTAACAGCTCTAACTGAACAGAATCCTCTACGCCCTTTGTGGTTAAATGTTTTGTACACCAATTTTAGGTGGCGACCTCTAGTCTTTGTTATGGAGTTTACTGTAAATAGTTTATTGCTGATGTTGCCATCAACACTAAACATTTTGTACATCATATTTATGTCCCCTCTTAATCGCCTCACTTCTAGAGTGAACAAGTTTAAATTTAGCAACTGTATCTCAAAGCTTTGGTCCTCTAGCCCCTTAATTAGTATTGTTGCCCTTCTCTAGACTCTCTCTAGTTCAAGGACATCCTTTCTGTGGATTGGTGACCAAAACTGAACCGCATACTCAAGATGAGGCCAAACCAGTGATCTATAAAGTGGCAAAATTATTGCTTTATCTCTTCAGAACATTTCATTTGTTAATGCATGGCTGTACCCTGCTAGCTTTGTTTGCATTGCAAGCTATTGTGTGACCTCCCTTTGCTCAGCTTCCTTTGCTGGTTCACTGGGTGAATTCACTTCACAACTTTCCGGGATCATTTTTTTTGACGATGGCTTCTCATTGAAATAAACGCTGCATCTTATTTCCACTTTGTCAGTCTTTAGGTGGAGGATTCTATATCCCTTACTTTGTTCACTATAGCCCACCAGAATAACTTCAATGGCTGTGTTCTCCAATTTGAATCGCTTCTCATTTGGAATATAGGTGTAAGCTTTACATCCAAACACTTTAATGTGCCTTAGGCTAGGCTTCGATCTGCGGTGATGAGTCTGTATAGGTGTTCATCCAATTTTCCTTTTGTTTCCTGTTGTGAGGATTTACTTATGGTTTAGGATTGTACATTTATCACCTCTGAATTGAACTGTGAGACCGCTATTAGCAAGGGTTTACTGATATAAGGCTTCCTTCTAGGTCTGGGACATAAATTTTTCATGAGGATACTCTGCTTGTCCCCTGACTGTGTGATGCAGTTCAAGAATCATTGACCGTTACCAACATTGCACTGCAGTGTCCATATATCTTGCAGCACTCCTTACCGGATATCCCAAAAGTAACGGGTGCTCATAATGACTGCAGATGGCGCTGCTCACAGTAAAATTTGAATAGAGATGTCACCAGCACACCAGCATGAGAATTCCATATCAGTGCAAATCCATTTTATTGATAGATGTCACTCAAATGACGAGCGCTTTTTAGGCCACACAAGGTCCCCTTCATCAGGCTCAGAGATGACAAGATTGTCATCTCTGAGCCTGATGAAGGGGGCCCTGCATGTCCTCGAAAGTGCTTGTCATTTGAGTGACATCTATCAATAAAATGGATTTGCACTGAAATAGAATTCTCATGCTGGTAACATCTTTATTAAACATTGTATTACAACACCATCTAGTGCTCAAAAGATATAAATACACAAGTAATACAATCATATATATCAGCATATGCTGGTGTATTTCCAACAGTTGGGAAGACGCCCTTCTTCACATCAGCATGGGGACAAGGTGCTTTTCCAGGTGGTTCCCCCCTGGAAAAACACCCTCCCAATGCTGAGGACATGTGGACTGGTATGGTGCAGGGAGGGAGGAGGGCGCTCGCTCATCCCCCCCTTTCCTGCCCTGCCAGGCCAGTGCACGAATTAAGGATCTGGTTGGGTCCCTCCCCATTTTGGGGTTTTGGGGTTCCCCCCTAAAATTCCTAGTAGACCTAAAGGGTCTGGTATGACTTTTGGGTGGAACCCCATAATTTTTTTTTGTAACTCAGGAGTCCCTCTTTACATTCCTGCCAGACCTAAAATATATATTAATTTTTTTGTTAACAATGACATTCTTCATTTTGTTCGCTAAACCCTGAGGTAGCGAACAGAATGACCAAGCTGAATGCTGAATGGCAGCATTTGGCTATTCAATATCTGCTGTTCAGTCCCTACGAGAATAGGGGTGAACAGCAGGGAATAAACTGCAGAACGTTCGCCTCAGCAAATCCACATGTTGGATCCGCTGAGTCGAATGGGTTTTCCCTTTGGTTCAGTCGAATGTGCTGAGGGTGTTCGGCTGAATCAAAGGGAAGTGAAGGGAGCTGAAGTCAGCTGATGTACAGCTGAAAACAGCTGTACATGGCTGAAGTGAATAACCGAACGGGGTCCCTTCACTTCGGCTCAGTCATTCCTTCAAATGAAGAGTTTTTCAAGGACTCAGTCCAATCCACAGAATGCAATTTAGAGCTTTGAGCCCACATTATACATCCAAACCTCAAAGTAACACAGAACACAGTGTTCTGCTTATACAGAGGTTGCTTAGCATACCAACAAACACAAACGTATTTCCGCATTCTGGCTATTTTGTTGCAAAGCTCTCTGTTCATCTGACTTTGGAGAGAGTTGCCCCAGTTTCAGCCTCTATGCTTAACTGCTCCCATAAGTGACCAGACTGGACCTGTTGCCTACTCGCATACAGATTGCTACTAGCTTAGCTCAAGCACATGAATGTATTCAGATGGGGACTTCCTCTGTGCTTTTATAATTCACAACTCTCAGACATTAGTCTAACTTGGTGGCCTGTCTGTGTAGGCTAGACAGGCCTGGGTACAACTTATACAAACATGCTGTCAGTACGCAGTACAAGGCGTTTGTCTAGGGCCGCTCCCAAGGAAAGTGCCGCTCTAGGCAAACGCCTTGTTTGCCTCGCGGTAAATACGCCCCTGCCTGGGTATGCACTCCCCATGTGTCAGGATTCAAACTGCTATCACAGCACATAGAAGAAAAGACTGACTAGAAAATGCTCTTTTTTGTGAATAGCACACATTTGTCTCCAGTCAGTTTTACATTCAGGGACATTTTCCCTGCTGAAACAGGCACTATCTGCATGTACTTTATATGTATTGATAGACTGTGTGTCTTTCACACTACATACTGTATACTGTAGAAACATAAACACATTTACATTTTTGTTTTTGTTAAATGTTTATTCAAAGGATTCCCAGATTATTATGAATTAGCTAAAGACACAACAGCAGCAGCAGTTCTTACCTTTCAACCTGACCCAATTTGACCAAGCTATCTGGTAATAGATAAGTCATCTCTCTTATGAGTGTTTCAGTCCAGTTGACTCATTCAATTTGAGCTATTGATCTCTGAAAACAAGTGGCCTTTTACAACACTGGTTAAATAAACTGTATAATTAATAAGAAGTACGAAGCATCCCTTTTGGCTGGCTAATAATATGCAACATTTCAAATTTAACTAATTGTAATAAGCAAACAATATATATTTACATTTTTAATTTTAGTCCTACCCATAATAAACAAAAAACACATACAAAAATGTATTCATATATTCATAACCCTAATTTTGATTATTCTTCTTAGAGCAAGTTTCACTTCCTTATTCCTCAGGCTATAAATAACGGGATTAAGTAAAGGGGTGAACATAGCATACACAAGTGCCAAAATCTTGTCATAGTCCACAGAGTGTTTGTGTGGGCTAGCATAGACGGCGAAAGCAGTACTATAAAATAGCATCACTACCGTAATGTGAGAGGAACAGGTGGAGAAGGCCTTGCTTCGTCCTGAGTTTGTCTTCATTCGTATAACGGAACATATGATATTTATGTACATTACTACAATTAATACAAAGTTAAACATAGTGGCAAACCCAATGACACAACCGTTTATTGTACTGTTAATGGAAGTATCAATACAGGCCAAACTTAGCAAGGGAGCTAGATCACAGAAGTAATGATCTATGTGTCGTGGACCACAGAAAGGCACTTTTAACGTAAAGGTGAGTGGTATTGTTGCAGCCAAGAATCCATAAGACCAACATAGTAGTGCTAGATACCTACACATTCTCTCATTTATGATGGTGATGTACCTAAGAGCGTTGCATATAGCCATAAATCGATCAAAGGACATAACAGCTAACAAAGCACACTCTGTCATACCCAGACCATGGAACATGTAAAGTTGAGCAAAACACCATTGGAAAGAGACTCTTTTGTCTTTTGTCAACAGGATGGAGAGAAGTTTGGGTACTGTAGTTGATATGTACCACAACTCCAAAAGGGAAAGGTTAGTAATAAAAAAGTACATTGGTTTCTGAAGGTATATGTGAAAATGCACTACCAAAATGATCAACATGTTACCAAATAAGGCGAATAGATAAATTAGGAGGACAATAAAGAAAATACTTATTCTGTAATTCTCAATGTTTGCAAACCCTATTAGTAGAAACCCATTGTAATATGTTTCATTCATTTTATTCATTTGCTTTATATTTCCAAAGAATAGATCATTATATAGAAAAAAAACCCAGTATGCTGGGACTTCAGAGAGGAGTTTTTCCTTAAATGGACCTGCAAAATGAGAAACACCAACAACATAATGCATATCATATCAAGATTAGATATCACTAAAAAAAAATAAGTTTTGTCATTATTTTTTGTCAAAACTATATATATAAATGTTGAAAAAAAGAACCACCTCTGTATTAAAAACAACTATACAATCTATCTTACTTCAAGCTTTTAATAGTGGAGGTCTGTTGAGTATTTGCACACATTAACAAAGGTCTAAAGCATAGCTGGATAACATTTATTTTTGCTAAAGCATTGCGTCCCATTCATAATGGTATTATTTTCATTAAATCTGTTTTCATCTGTTTGCATCATAATGCTCCTGCTCGCCTTCAACCACTTCCTGTCTATATGCTCTCAAGCATTGGCCTGCAGCTATCCATATACCCAAACAGTGGCTGCATTTGATTGAATTCAGTCACCAAGGTTAAGTATTTTCCACCCGGCCCCATCAATTTTTCCAGTGACTTTTGTGGACCGGGTGGTGCCTCTGACCCACCCACAACTCGGTTTTAGCTGATTCTGCAGGAATCATCCATAATGCAAGATGTGTGTGACAAGCTTTATTTTTGCTAATACTATTATCAATGCTATTGTTTTTATAACTTTTCTAATATTGTAAATGCTACTACATAGTCACATATATAGTTGCATAGTAGGTGAAGTTGAATAAAGACACAGGTCCATCCGCTTCAATCTATATAGTGTGTGTGTGTGTGTCTGTGTGTGTCTGTGTGTGTCTGTGTGTGTCTTTGTCTGTGTGTGTGTGTGTGTACTGCTAGCAATTCCCATAAGCGTGCATGTTCCATAAACTGAGGAACTCATCCAAGTGTCTTTTGAAGCTGTTAATGTTTTCTGCTGATACAGCTAACTGTGTAAGGGAATTCCACATTTGTACTGCCCTCACAGTAAAAAAAAAAACCTTACACATTCTAAGATTATAGAGCATCCCCTCAAGTTTCTTGTTTTGCCCTTGTGTCATCTCAAAGTTCTTGGTTTAAGTAGTGTATTCCCAATACTACAGTCTCCATGACTACAATATGATAGGCCAAATATCACTGACAGATAACCTTTACAATAATGACTGAAATTGAACACTCTTGTAGCACATGGAGTCACTGCGGTTGGTAAATGTCAGGTTTCCGCATTTAAAATAAGGACAGGATGGAATGCATTGAAAAAAACACCTCTCATTCACAATAGGCATCTTTGCTTTCTCTACTGTCTGAAATTTATTGGTGGAAGGATATGCCCTTTGTGGTAAAAAAAAGGCTCAGTTTAGTCCAGGGGCTGACTGGCAACTTTTGGCCCAGGGGGCAAGTAACACCCAGAGGCCCACTGAGGCCCCTCCTGCTTTCCCTCTTCCCCTGCGTGGTCCCCACCCCCCTTGCCACTTTCGTCAGCCATGTAAATTACAACACGGGAAAACAAAATAAACTAGGGATGCTCCTATATATATCGGCCGCCGAAATATATCAGCCGAGAATGGCACTTTTGGCATAATGCCGAATGTGCCATTTTCTGGCTGATACAGCGTTGTATCTGTGTATTTTCTCCTCCCTGCTGGGCGCTGCTCTGTGTCGCAGCGGGGAGAGAAACTGTGACAGCCGGCCGAGCGCTGCTCTCTTCTCCGCACCGCCTGCTCAGCCTCCTGTGACAGCGTGTCAGGAAGCAGAGTGACACGCTGACAAACCTGCACCCAATTTGATATCTTCTGCCCCCATGTGCTCCAAGATGGAGACTCTCATAGTTTAGAGTTAGGACCGCACTATAAGAGGTGCCTTGGCGCGGCAGTGCGGCTTACACATCCTTTGCAGAAGACGTGTATCCAAACCTCTGTCATTGTCCTTAGTGGTGAGACAAGTTGTTTTACATGCTGGTTTGTGAGTGTGCCATGATGCCTTTCTACTGTTTTACTGTTCAAAGCCCATTTCGTGTGCACCTTGCTGTATAACTGGTAACAAATTGTTGAGTGCGTTTGTCGTTTGTTTTGTTTTGCAGGAAGCAGAGTGAGGCACAAACATGCAGTGATCAGTGATCGCTGAGTGTTTGTAAATAATTGAGGACATATCATGTTTACTGTGTCCCCAATTATGAATAAATAGAAAGTGATCTACATCACCTCCTGTTTATTCATGATTGTGGATATAGTAAACACACTCTGTCCTCATGTTATGAATGAACAGGAGCACTCAGTAGAGAGGATTCCTGTTCATTTATAACAGGGGCTGCAGAAAAAGAGATAGAGGGCTCTGTGTGTCTCTGAGGACTCTGTGTTCTCAATCGCTTTTTCTATTTTAATAGGGAAATATCAGGGGTCTGTTTAGACCCCTAATATTAGACCCCGGAGCCCCTAAAAGTAAGGTAAAAAAATAAAAATATTTAATAAAAAATGTGTGACGTAGAGAGCAGAAGTCAGGGTGTGACGCAGTGCGCAGTGGTCAGGGTGTGACGCAGAGGTCAGGGTGTGACGCAGTGCGCAGGGTGTGACGCAGAGGTCAGGGTGTGACGCAGTGCGCAGTGGTCAGGGTGTGACGCAGAGCGCAGTGGTCAGGGTGTGATGCAGAGCACAGTGGTCAGGGTGTGATGCAGAGCACAGAGGTCAGGGTGTGAC